TTGTAATGATTTCTGTCCAGTTTTATCTATTGGTATTACAACACATGTTTTGAAATTTGTAATATGCAAGAAAAGTATACTAAGCACATAGTCTACCATCTCATGGCATGTTTTCTCGGGCTCTTTTTAGAACTCTTCATTTATTTGAGCATGCAAGAGAATTTCTTCTTCTGTATTCGTCAAAAGTGATTGATTGCAATGTGGACACAAGCCACAAAAACTCTTTTGATTATTCTCTGCCATCTTGCTTCTCTTGGGAGTGTTGATTATTTTTGCTAATGGCAGATCTAATGAAGACATATGTGAATTGTATAAATCATTTTAATCTGTTCGTGAATTCACGACAAGTTTATAGAACGATTTAACAATACATTGTTAAACACTTCATTCTCCTGCTCTGATGATACTTGTACTCTGTAACAGACGTGAATCTATCCTTGAACCCGGGGAGAATTGTACAGTTCGAATTGAGAAGAACAAGGTAAAGACAAGACGTAGATGCAACAAAATGAAGATATCCACACAAAATAATGTGGTTTACACGTGCCATTTCTATTCTTACCAGAATATTGTGAGAGAAACTCTAGAAGGCTATATGAAAGAGATTTCTCCACCACAAGCTAAACGACCTTTAGATTCCCATTCTGCCAAAACTGAAGTAGCATCCACCAATATTGAGGCTAATGAGGTCAAGAATACAGTTGATTTACCTGTAGCAGCAACTCTAGAGGGACCTAGCTGTAGTAAAAATTGAGTAACTAAGAAGAAGGATAAAGATTTTCTGAAATAATATTCAATATATATCTTACATACTTCGTTGGTACATTAGAAAATATATATAGCAAAAGTGTTCCGACCATTTTCATCAACCACCACCTACCTGCCATTGTCATGCTTTTAGACAGATTATATGGCATTACATATGGCCATACTATGACAGATTTTTAAATACACAAATACGTTAAAATATACTCTAAACAAGTACTACAAAATACACTATTTTTGAACAGTAAAAGTATCAACTAGCATTAACACTAGCACAGTTTTGGAGTAGAATCTACCAATGTTGAGGCTAATTAGGGTAAAGAATACGGTTGGCTTACCTGTAGCAGCAACTGCAAAGAGACCTAGCACCATTAATCCGACAACTCCATTATTGGAATCAATGAGGAGGAAAAGACGTAGGTCGAGCATCAAGAAAGCATTTCAAAACCGAAAAGTAGTCCAGCTAATGCAATGCCGAAAACGGCTATTAGTGCTTCGAAGAAGAGGAAGAGAAAATCTTGGACGAGTCTGAAAGACATCGCGAAGAGTAGCAAGAATGATGCTTATCCTAAGCTTACCAACTTAACAATTCCATCTTTTAACTAATTACAATGAGCCCACGATTTGAATGTACTTGAGAATTCCAACAACTCGATAGAATCCTAATTGTTTACTGTAGAATTTCAACAATTTTAAGTTAAAATTTAAGTTATATTTATAATGATGACGAGGATTTGAATGCAGTTAACCATTTATATTTTATTTGGAACTTCATGAACCGACGCTATATCGATCCTTTCGAAATAGAATTTGTAATGTACAAAATTATCCATGTTCATATGGCCAAATATGTTATGGTATAATATGTTTTGTTGGTATAACCCTTTGTAAATTTTCTCATTTGTTTCTCTGGCCATAAAGACGAAAAAAACTTATATTATGATTAATATCATTTTTAGGATAAATGTGAAGAAATTGATAATTATTTCCTTTTGTTTTTGATTGGTATGGTAGAGAACAATACCAATTGGCTACTTTTGGCGTGGCCTGGTATGGCTTCCTTAGATGTGAAGCGTGAAATTTAAATTAGGGCGTGTTTGATTGACTATATTTTTTATGAAAAATATTATTTTTTCACCTATATTCTTATTTTCGGTGTATTTGATTGACAAATTTTTTCATGAAAAATATTTTATAACTTTCAGTCATATGATCATATTTTTCTTAAAAATAAGGAAAACGTTTTCTTTAGAGACAGGTGATTTTATTTTTCAGGTAATTCGCTATCTTGTTCTTTCTTTCATCTATCAACTCTTTCTTATCTATCCACCAATTAAAAAAAAAAAAAAAAAAAATATATATATATATATATATATATATATATATATATATATATTAAATCCTTGTTTGAGCCGCATTTTTTCATCAAAATTCATTTTTAACAGCGATTTGACCTCATTTCAACCACACATTTTTTAATAAAATAATATTACACACAAATTAAATACTCTTCTTTATTTTTTAATCACATATTTTTCATCAATACACTATTCAAAAATGCATTTTTTGACAATGAAACTCAAACAAGAGCTAAAAGGCATACATGAGTTTGGGCGTGGAGCAACACGACCCCTCTCTCTAAAATGTTTTGTGCTAGATCAGGACTACCAAATAAGAGTTAGGTACTTGAAAGCACATCGGCAGGGGCAAATCCAGGATCGAAGGTTAGCTAAGGCAGATTGTTGACCTTTGACCTTTTAATCATGAATAGGTGGAACATTCCATATTACATTATAGTTGTACAAGATTAAATTCCTGTCCTCTCCTCTAGCATCCAAAAACTAGGAAAATTGGGAAGCAATCAAATATAGGACGCCAAGTTAAATCTTTTATCTAAAACTTCTCAGTGTGAGAAGGAAATTTGAATTTTATGCTCAACTTTTAACTCGTTGAAGTCAATGTGTAATAAAAAGAAACAAATAATTCATCCTTTATATGTAGAGGCTCCAGAGGAAGGTCACAAATTTAACGGCATTCACAGTGAATAACTGAATAAGTAAAAAATGAAGCCACTAGTCCTAGCTCACTTGTGCTTAGGATTTAAATTGAGAAAAATTAAAACCGGTATGATTTTTTTATCCCATAATAATTCAAATTCCACATTAAATCCATCATTAGGGAAGAGCTTTTAAAATCCATACTATAAATGAAAAGCTCAACTATAACTTTCATATGACACCAGTTCATGAAAAATTTCGACTACATAAATATAGAATAGTAGCATGAGATTACACTTGCAGCCTCGAAATTGTATACTCAAAAAGTCATTTCAAACAATACAACACACAGCCACCTTCCTGGTTAACTTAATATTTGGATTCTTAGAGATTTTAATTAAACGATTCTAATTTGGGATCCACTCTCCAACTCTTGAATCCAAATAAATCATTCTAGAGTCACCTATTACACCGAACATTTTTTTTTTTTAATAATCCACCTTGTTGAGCAATCCAAAATGGGGAAAGTAAAACCATACTTCATTTCATTCACAACACACTCAACAGACAACAAAGGGTTTGCAAATTGCAGTTGCACAAGTACAAATCGACAAATCAACAAAGGGTTTGCAAATTGCAGTACTCAAGCAAGACTTCAAGCATTCAACACTTCAAGTTATTCAAATTTCAACTCACCAGATCGTCGCCTCGCGACCGTGGCCTCGCCCCCGAATCTAAGAGTCCCTGACTTCGCACATCATGACACCGCCAAACCGTCCACTGCCTCCAGCTGCTAATTCTGCTGTTCTGCAACTCTGCTTCGAATGGAAATATGGAAATTTCAGGGTTTGCTGTTTGAACTTTGCTGTCGCCTGACTCGCCCGTCGGTTTCAAATGGAGGAAATGAGAAATCAAATTTGGGTTGGGGGAATGAGAAATCAAATTAATACCATGGTCCATGGACTTTGTTGCCGGATTCAATATCCTTATTAATTTGGGCCTAATTTTTTTTTAAAAATGGCCCAATCTCTGGCCGATCAGCCCAAACGAATAGAAAAATTTTGGAAATTTGAAGTCTTCTTCTCCAGCGTCACAGACTCCTGTTCGGCTTCTTCTGCAAATCTCCCTTTGCTGCGCCTGAGCGGCTACCACCAACCTGATGGCCACTGTAGCTCCCGACGGATCCAGCACGGGCGGCCACAGGGGCTCGCCAGGTGCTGGATCCGCCCCTGCACATCGGTTTATTTCGAGAAAGTTTCATTTTTGTGTCCCTTTGCCCCTTCCCTCATAAAAACAAGTACAAAAGTCTTATACCTTTGCATTCCAAGGGTTTCAGAAGTCTTCTAATTTTCTAAAGGAAAATGCTACACGTACATAAAGTTGTACATCTGGGATTACGCCCCCTCATAATAAATCATAATTTATTGTGCGACTCAGGATGCATAGGTAGCATTTATCTTTTCTAAATACTCATTGTTCATTCGACACAATTTATGAAATCAAATATGCATGTAATAAATACCTCTATTGATAAGATCACTTGCTCGACTCGGAAAACTAAGAATAACATGTACAGATACAAATCAGCTAATAGGAGGGCTGACTGATCACTTACTAGGTCCCGTTTAATCTACATTTTGAACCCGAAAACTTTAAAAGATTTTAATTTTAGTAATCAGGTGCTCAATTTTTTTGGAGAGCAATTCTACATAAAATTAGGGAGTCGCTATTTTGATCTATATCTATCCACTTTTTTTTTTAATTAAAAAAATTATATTACATTTTAAATTTATGTATGGAATTAAATAAAATTTATTACAGTATATTCATTCTCTAATATCAGTAAATATTTTTGGACCTATAATAAGAATATTTAGAGCATGATAGATATCTAAGATGGTCTATAAAAATAATGGCTCCCTAACACTATAGGTCTATTCATACCCTCTTCAATAAAAAAGTAAAAAGTGAGACATGGTTAATAAGCAAGTAAAACTTCTTCTTCGACCATTTGGCTTAATTACATCTCATCAAATTAAATTAAATTTTTTACAATTTTTAATAAAATAATATTATACGAAAAATTTTCATTTTTTTTACAATCATTTATTTTTCAAAAAAAAAAAATTATTTTCCATTATAATCAAAATTAGTGAGGGCCAAATAGGAGCAAAGTAATTAATTTATTTTTTTTACTTCCTCCAACAAAAAATTACTTTTTTAAGTCAAGCATGTATTGCACATTTGCACGTTGCGAGAAAATTTTAAAAATTCGCCCGTAAATCTCACCCTACCCTAAACCCTTTTTCAATTTTTCCATGAACCAGAATATCTTGGTTTCAACTGAAATGATTCTGACTCGTTTAGAGTTATTTAAACTTTTCCAGCTTTTAAGCAATTATTTTCTGCTGTTTAATTAGTTACCGTGTTTAATTTTGGTATCGTACTTCTTGAATTTTTAGTTACTGATTGTTTATGTGTGTTTTCGTCTCTTGTGTTTTACTACTCTGAATCTCTATTCTTGATTTCAGGGCAATGCGTTGTTTAATAGTTGACTGTTTTCACGGAAGGATGTAGAACTGGATTTTGGAGGCTAAGTTTTAACGGGTGATGAGATTTTTGTTTCCTTATTTTCTATTAAATATTTATTTTCTGATTTGCTCGCTTTTGTACCTGTACTGGTTGTTTATAGACATGGTAGATAGAGCATGTTTGGCTAACTTTAAAAGTAAAATTAATACTTAACTACTGTTTTATATAGTAAAATTTTTAAGCTTAGCTAGACATGTTAATGAAGACTTGAGTGTTATGACAAGAATTAGCTGTCATTTGTTTCTTATTGATATGTCCCTGGCTTAAAACAAAGCTGGAAATATTTGGTTGAATTCTTATTTATGAGGAAGACGATCCTCAATCATTTCTCGATTTTATTTAAATGCATAAAAATGTAAAAGTTTAGATGTGAATGGTGGTGTAGTTCATAAATAAGCTTGAGGCGTCTGGACTTGAAGGGGGATGTGGTTGTGTAGTTCATAAACAAGCATGAGTTGTCCTTCAACTTTTTCAACTGGGCTTGATGGACTAGAAAGTTTTAGATGATGTGTTAAATAATCTAGTCGATCAAGGGGGATGTGGTTGTGTAGTTCATAAACAAGCATGAGTTGTCCTTCAACTTTTTCAACTGGGCTTGATGGACTAGAAAGTTTTAGATGATGTGTTAAATAATCTAGTTGATCAAGCTTGGTCCGAGTTTAGTCAGACTAAGCTCACTCGAGCTCTACTTGATGAACAGATAACCCTAGCTTTAACGTTGTTCTGCTTGTGGAGAGCTGAGTGGTTTGTTTCGCTTAGATGATTTTGTAACTAAAAATTATATCTAGAATTGACTAATTTAATATACTGGATTCTTAGTGCAGTTGCCTCTCTCTATTGACAATCTTCTTTTTAACAACTATACACATCAACAAATGTCAAGAAAAATGGAAGGGAGGAGTCGATTGAAAAGAAATGATAAGCCTTCAATCAGATACAGGCATAATCCACTCAATGGGGCATCCTTTGAGCTTTCTGATTTTGAGCACGCAGATAATTCTATCACTTCATCGGAAAATGATAAGTGTACCCCTAGAAATTCTGAGATCAAATCTTCCACGATATTGAGCACAGCCGAGCTAATTTCTGCTGTGAGTGATATATGGGATCGTGCAAGTCAGCCACTGTCTATTATTGTCCCAAAAACTAGTTCCAGATACAAAGCTGACGTCTGTCAGGGAGGTGATGAAACTCACTGTTCCAGGAATGAAGTAACTCTCTGTACATCCACTTCTGCTGATCAATATTTTGCTGTCAATTTGACAAGTAGAACAGATTCTGCAGCAGTGGTGTCAACAAATATTGAATCTTTAAGTGTGACCCAGAAGATTTCTTGCTTTCAACCTAATTTTGAAAGTTATCTCTCTAGCATCCTTCATGGTAGGTCTACCACAACTCACGAGTCTTGCAAAGAGAAACAACTTTCAGGTGTAGGAATAGCGCATAATTTGTGTAGCATATATGGATGGATGAGTGAAATAACTCTTCCAAAACCATCAGATCTGATAAATTCTGTGAGGATCAAGTACAGGGGGTCAAGTGACTGTTATGTTGGCAACTCTTCAAGTAGTCCAGCTAGTGGCTGCAAGTCTACTAACACAATTGGTACAAATAGTTTGGTCTTTCTGAATTCTGATTGTAATGTTGAAGCAGTACCACCCGTAGGTTCATTATTAAGCGTAGACGCCCAGTTTGACTTGAATGCATCTACATTTTCTTCATGCTTAGAAATTGCTACCAGGCCCCAAGAGGTTGAAGCTAATAATTGTAAGACTCCTGCTTTGAGATTTGATGCAGACTTCCAACAGTCAGGTATTCATGCTTGTGAAGAAAGTGAAAAGGAAACCGACTGCCGATGTGAGCACCTGAACGGTCAAGAGATAAATTCTATCAAAGCGAACTCTTCTGATGCGGAACTTTGTTTGTGGGCAAAGGAAAAACCTCATTATGCACTTGCCAAGCAAGAGCATGCTTTTGCGGGAGCCATGGCTGGGATATTTGTCAGCCTTTGTCTACATCCAGTGGACACTGTTAAGACTGTTCTTCAGTCGTGTCACATAGATCAGAAACCCCTTCACCACATAGGCAGATCTATTATTTCCGAAAGAGGTGCGCCTTTTTGCAAGGTTGCTGGTGACTTTTTGGAATTCAATATTTCCTCTACAATCCAAATTCGGCAATTGAAAGTAAATGACTAATTTGAAGTTCATTATCAGGTGTAATGGGACTTTATCGTGGCATTTCCAGCAATATTGCTTCTTCAGCACCAATTTCTGCTATCTACACTTTCACATATGAATCAGTGAAAAGTACTTTGGTTCCCTTTTTCCCCAAGGTGAAAAATTTGTTCTGTATTATGGAAGAAAGACAATTAAACCAAAGCAGAATTGGAAATGTCAATTTATTTTGATTTACCATGATTTATTGCAATATACTCATTTTATTAACATGCATATTTCTTTTTGCAGGAATATCAGTCTTTGACCCACTGCATAGCTGGGGGTTGTGCAAGTATTGCTACATCATTCATTTTCACTCCAAGTGAGCGAATAAAGCAGCAGATGCAAGTTGGTTCACACTACCGGCACTGTTGGTATAAATTTAAGACCCTGATACATATTTATCATATTGATTTCTGAATTTTTGAATGCTGTATAATATGCAGTAATTTCATGTCAAGTCATAAAATATTAAATAATAGGTAGGATAACATTACAATGTTTTGACCCAGTTGACGGGTACCCCTCATAAATGCATCAGCTTGATAATGCCCGACCATTCGAGTCATAGGAAGAAGTTTATTTGGTGGAGCTGTTATTTTTTTGTTATGGTCGTTGATCAACATTGTCCTTTATTACCAAGGAATCAGAGATATTAAACAAAGCTATCCATGAAAAATTTAAATGGATAGCAAAGCCTAAGAGAAGTGCATAATCATAATTATCCATAATAGCTTTGGCGGCAATGCCTTCTGTTTTTATTAGTGCTTTTTATTTATTTTTTAATTTTTCACAAAATTGAGTAGCTGAACTGGCTGCTTTTTTTTAGTAATTTCAATTTATTCAAGTTTTCAATTTCTCAAGTTTCATTTGATGTTTACATTTAGGTGGACCAGCTCTTACTCTAGGATTGGTATTTAGCTTGGTTAAATTATGCCTTCTGCAGGAATGCCATGATAGAGATTATTCAGAAAGGTGGTTTGTCTTCATTGTATGCTGGATGGAGAGCTGTACTCTGCAGAAACATTCCACACTCTGTGATCAAGGTAACCTGGGAAAACGTACATTGGCGTGATTGTACAGGGGAAGATATAATTTGAAGTCTGGTTATTGGTCATTTTATATCAATTTTTCAGATTATTTGACCTGTTTTTTCTGGTAATCCTGGGGATAGTATATATTAGCGCAATTGTATAGAGCTGTAGTTCCGGAGTTGATTTTTGGTTGTCTTCTGGAAGTATTATTGATTATTTGATCCAATCTTTAAGCTTAATTTTTAACAGATTTTCGGCTTCCACCAGAAATTCTCATTTCTAGTTTGTCGGATGTACTTATTTCAATCTCAGTTCTATACATATGAAAGATTGAAGCAATTGATGTTGGCATCAGATCAATCAAATGTTCAACCTAATACATTAGTCACGGTTTGTTTTCTACGCTGCTGAATAATCCAATTCACCATGCTTCTGTTTTTGACATTGCTTCCTGTTCTTGCAGCTAGTTTGTGGAGGACTGGCTGCATCTACAGCTGCATTATTTACGACTCCGTTTGATGTTGTCAAAACAAGATATCAAACTCAGGTTAGTTATTTATTTGCTCTGTTCTTTTAGAGAAATGCAGTTTGACCAGTACTGTCTCGCTAGTTTCGGTTTCTTCTCTTCAAGTTTGTGGGTTTGATGCATAATTTAGCCTGTTTGGCTCATGTTTATATACCGTTTATAAACACTCAAGCCACTCTTCATCGGTTCATCCACATATTTTGAGGGCCCACAAATACTATCAACTTATCCATTACTTATTTTGATCCATTTATTTTTTAAACTGTTTATAAACACTTTGCAAACATGATTATTATTATTTAGATTGCAAAGCTCCAACAAAAACATTTTCATGCAGATTCCAGGATCTGTCAACAAATATGATGGTGTATACAACACGCTTAAAGAAATAGCAAAGCGTGAAGGCTTGAAAAGTCTCTACAGGTGAGGATTTAAAAAACATTTTTGCAGACTTTTTAACTGAAGACATACTTATTGGTCGTCTGATAACTAATATTGTTAGATTGATTTCAAGTTTTTCTGGGGTTCTACTGGCAAAGCTGATAGATAAGTAATCTATAATTAAAATTATAGCTCCAGAAGAAAGAGCTTGACCAATGAATCTATCGTCAACAGTATCAACTGAGGTTTCCAAGATAACTTGACAAGCTTGCGATAGGTTCAAATCCCATTGGAGGCAANCAGTGGTATTGGATTCACCTGTCTCAGTTACGGCATGATTTGCACTGAAAGAATGTAGAAAGATGCGGCCTTGTGGCATCTTCTTGGCTCACACGTACAGCCTCCCAGTTGAGCATTCTCCTAAGGTCATGTGTATGCGATACAGGATGAGTCAGACAGCATGATAGACAAGATTTTATTTAGTTTATCCTACAATTTTTTCCAGGTAAAGGATAAGGTAGGTGCTGGAATTAGAACTGCTTCCATCCCTAACTAGGCTTCTTGGTGCCTCGAAAATGTGGAGAAATTTTTTGTTGTAACATTAGTGTGCAATAATGAATGTACTGAAACGAGCCCCACACATTGGGGGTTAATCTTTTTATACGATAATTGAACGATTATTGGATGAATTTCTTTTTCGTTATTACTTTTCTTCTACTGTTTAATGGCAACTAGTAACTAATATACCATATAAATTTTACATTGTGAAAGCCAATTCAATCAACAAGGTGGTTGTAGTACAGCGTATGAGTATTCCTGCTTGTCATGCAGGTGACCTGGGTTCGATCCTCGGTAATGGCAAATTTTTTAAGAATCCATTTCTTATTCATTTTGGCCTTCCCTGCGATCATTCTTATGAAGCACTTCTAGAAATAATGTGAAGCACTTCTTGAAATAATAGAAGAGAGTTTATGTCTTCTTTTTTTTCTTTTTTTTTTTTCCTTTTTTTTTTAAAATTAAAATGTGCTAAATCTACCGCTCACAGAATGCACTTTAAGCATAATAAATTACAAGAGAAGAATAACCCCTATTCCTTTTCAACAATGGACTTACTCTTATTCTGTTTTCAATTCCTATCAGCTAAATAGTATGAAGAGTACGGTGTTTGTTTCGACTTTGCCTATGAAAAAACAAAGAAATTTCGCGGCAACCGGGTGCATGGCAGAGCAACGTGAAAGCCAAACTATCCCAGTTTCTCAGCACTATTTTGAGCCATCAGTTATTTCAACTTTTGTTTGGAGAAACTTCGTTGGGTGAAATTCTCCATAATGATTTCAGCGTGTCCTCTTTCACAATTCAGATTGAACTCTGCGGTCGGGTCATTAGAAAAGCCTATAATCGAGATATTGGAGGGAAGTGCAAGTACAATGAACCAAATAGTCACCAATTAACCTGTCTTGCCTGGAATCAATAATAATCTCTCACACCAGATGGAGAAATTACCTGAACAAAGAGTTCCAATGGATGCTGATTGTCAATGAGGATACGGTCTCCAGCAATATGAATGTTTCCATTGCCAAAAATATTGAGAAGGCATGCCATGTCCCAGCCACCACAGTCTCTTCCTCCACCTCTCCTCCATCGGTCTAGTAAAGGTGAAGGGCTGCAAATTTTGGTGCTTTGCAAACTGTGGCTTCCGGATGGAATCACTACATGAATCTTTCCAGGACTCTTCACAGTCAGATATTGCAGCCTTTCTATTCTGAATTGGCTCATCATCGGCTCCATCAGGACCCTTAAATTTCGGGCACTCTCTCTTCTTGACCTGGACTTCCAGAATAATAGCCGCAATTTCAAGCTCAGGATGCAGTTCTGCTGCTACCAGAGAATTATTTGAGGAATCAAAATGACCACTTTCATGGGACTGCTTAGTCGAGGACAAAATTTCAACAGAACAGAGCGGTGCTTTAACAGCATCAGGGCTAGAAGCATCTGGAGCTGAAGCATTTTTTCTTGGATGATCAATGTCATAAAACACAAATTCTGTCACAATAGAGTTTTCTAAAGCTCCAGCATCTTTTAATTCTGTTTGTAAATAATAGGAAAATTGCATCTGCCCTATCTTAGAGTATTCTCTACAGGAATCTTTTGATCCCAATCCACTAGCATTGCTCTTGCTGCTATGGTCAAGTGAATGAGACCAAAGTTAAAGAATTTTCCTCTCTGTGTGCCTTTGCGATGTAAACATCTTCTGGACCCTTTACAGAAAACTCAAAAAGAGGTATTCCGTCTTCATTCTCCTACTTAATGTTGGGAATCTACTTATACATGCACAGTGGAAAAATAAAATTATTTAAATTCCTACCGAGGATCCCTTTGTGTTTAGATAGAAATCATGATGAAGATTGTACCTTTTGCTTTTCTTCTCATTCCAACAATCTTGATTCGCCACCACAGCTATCCAATTGTCCAACCTCCAACGGTGATCCACACAGAGAATAAGATTACAGCTTCTAGGATTTTTCCTCTTGTACCAGCAAGAATAATGAAAAACATATGGACCTCAAACCCTAACCATGTATTTATATAAATCCAAATGGGCTCGGTCCGGTCCGATCCAATATTTAATTAAACCAGGTCCGTGAATTAATTAATCCAATTACTTAATTCGAGAATATAAATAACAAATCCAATTAATTAATTTATCCAACGATTGTTAAATTAACTAATTGACAATTTGCAATCTTCCAATTCTCTTTTGTGTGCGACCCATTAGGTTTCTGACCACGATACCTAACGACGTGAAATATTATTTTGATCTAATCAAAATTGATAAATTAAAACACCCTTTTAATTTATCATCAATTCACACTCGTCGTCCCTGATTGATATCTAGCAATGTGTCAGGGCAATACATATGACAGGAAATGTCATGTGGTGTGACAAAACCAAACTCGTTCGTTTACTGTGAAACTATAATCCCTTCGTCAATATGATCCGATCAATTATGAGATATGGAAGTGTGTCAATCTCGATCATCGATCATATCTTTCACTCCACTATTAAGTCAATATAAGTCAAAAACTCATTTTCGATTTATGAGTACACCTTGGCCAAGGATTTCGTTATCGACTTAATCGAATGAAACGCAGATCATAATCTCTTACTATCTAAGAGTGACGAATCCTTTATTGGTCAATCACAACCTTCATACGATTCTTGACGTACCTGAATGATGTCGTATTAGCGGTCCTTTGCAGAGCAACATCCAACATCGCCAAAGTATGACTGTCCTCATATAAGGTACCATGATGACCTCAAGTCTAAGGACCAATTCCACTACCGAACGTTAGAGATTAACCACTGACACTCAGATAGTTATCCATGTGGAATCTCTCGGCGGGTCTCCAATGTTTTGTTCTATAACAAAACATCCACGTGTCATTTAAGTGTCACCACACTTTAACTTGTGAGATCAGCTACTTATTTCACAAGTAAGAAATGCCACATGTGATGGTCTATCCGTAATAACGATATCCGTATCTCGTTATTATTTACGACCACAGACGATTTAAGATTCAATCAGATATAATTTATATCTCACAATCACAACTCCTTGTGATTAACAAATTACGAAAATTTGAATCTACGGACTCTATTATTTATTTAATTGTCTATTAATTAAATAATAGATCTGTCATTAAATTGCATTAATTATATATACAAGTATTTATGTCCAAAGTTGATTGGACCTAGGGCATAATACTTACAAACTCCCACTTACATTAGATCCAATCACTTATATATCCAATATCATAAGTCTACATGACAATCATGTTTATACTACGACAACTCTTTGTTAGTGGATCTGTAATATTGTTAAATGTGAGAATTTGTTCTTCTCTTTACGTCATTTCTATGTATTATCTCTCTGATGAGATTATACTGCCTTAATATATGTTTGGATCATTAATGAGACCTTAGTTCCTTTGCTTTCGCGATGACTCTATTGTTATCACAATACAATGTCATGTAATCAACAATATTAGGAACTACACCAAGTTCATTTATGAACATATGATCCAGA